ATGATAATTGTTTGATATGGCATAATATTTTCGATTTTCATAAACAATTGAGTAATGTTGTTAAAAATCCAACACAAATTTAAGCTAATAATTATTTATTAATTTTAACGAATACTATTCTAATGTATTCAGATATTTCTGTAATTTAATTGTATGYATTTTTAAGTATTTAATAGTTTTGATTTGATTGAACATAATTAGTCTATCTGGGGCATAATCAGACAAGTCATGCAGTAAGGCAGGACTGTCCCATTTTGCCTCTTATACATGTACGTGTGCATTTATCTGTCACATCTTACCCCGCGGTGTGGTTAAAATGTGACGAATTCCGTTTTTTTTTTTTTATTAATTCTTTTGATTTCAATAATATTTTTTAATATTTTAAAGGTAAGAATTTTAAAACTAAATCTAAGGAACATTGGCTTATAAATGATACATAAATTTAGAATTTTTCTGATAAATTACARCTGACACTACAGCTCGTTAATGTCTCGTCTTGCTCCGGGGTCCCCTAACTATCATTATATTTTAAAATCAATAGTTTTTATGCAATATATTTTGTGTTCAACATTATTGATTATCATTGACTAACTAGTTTAAAAATTAATAAAAATCTAATAGCACGAATAACAAAATGGTGCATTTAGAGAAGGCTACAACCAAAAATAAATAATTAAATAAATACTTACAATAAACTGCGTATTTCTTCTATTCTTAAATTTTGTAAATTGTTCAGCTTAAATAATATAATTTTTTACTATTACTTACACGATTTGAAAACTTAAGCATTTTTTTATTCAAAATGTTAGATAATTAAGAAAATTATTTGTTATTTATAACGATATTAACTTTGTTTTAGGTCATGTAATAGAAGGTAATAAAATGGATGCAAGTAACTTAGCTACGCTATTTGCACCAAATATCCTCCATAAGCCTATTAAAGAACTTAGTTCCAATGATTTAAGCGAAGAAATGACGATGGAGAGAAGATTAGCGATTGACGTAGTAACAGCTCTAATTGTAAATTACGAATATTTATTTAAGGTACAGTGAAATATACATATWATATATTAACTTTAATTAAATTTTCTATATGATAATTTATGCATACGATTGGCTGAATTTTAATATTTTGTATMGAAGGTATATTGTATATATAACTTTGTCTTATCATTTCTATACATTTAATAAAAATACATAGGTCATAGGTGTATTATTGTCTAATAAAACAAAAACATTATTCATTTAAYTRTAATATTAACTTATTAACACTTAAGTTATATTGTTACGTTACTAGTAAATACATAAGTAAATTTGATATTTCACGATGAAATTATTCAGAATACAAAAATAGTATGWATATCGTTTTAATTTCTGAGCGGAACGATGAATGTATAATGGTTTTACAGTGATGTATGWTTTGTTTTTATTTTGATTATTTGTGTCTGTGTAAGCTATAAGTAGTAGAAATAATACATYGATTTTCAATTTCAGTATATTTTCTGGTGGTAAAATGTTTAATTGATTCTAAATTTAAATATAAGTCCAGTCATTTTAAAAAGCWCCRTTAAAAACAAAAASAAAAATAGTTATTTTTATGCAAAATCGGTTTTCGACAAAATCAATTTTGGTTTTTGGTGTAACTCTAAACAAATKACCATAAATACATGAAATCATCACTGAATGTTTATATTAGAATTTTCTATACATSATAATATTTTCAAAATATTTTGACTCTTAATGAGAAAAACATGAAAATTTAGTGCAAGGTTCTTCGTAAATCTTTGTTAGTAGAAATTGAAAAAAGTTGACCGTAAATCGTAAAATAAAGTGCATTTTTTATAAGCATTTRAATATAAAATTTTGACAAAAGACATAAAAATCACGWAATATAATACAAGATTCCTGATATATTTTTGCAATAGCAGTTGAAATATATTAAAAATACAWAAGTACTCCCTACAAAATAGGTAAAAAATAAAATAAAATTTTATTTTTTTATTTTATTTTTATTTWAAGGAAACTTTGTTAACAAYTAGTTTCGAAAATTATATKATTACAATGATGATACATTAAAGAATATAAAATTAATGAAAGAAAATATATTACAAATAAATTAAATGTTTAAGCCAGCCTAGTTGAAGAAGTATATAAGTGGGGTAATAATTGGAACAATTGATGAGGAGAGAATGGATTGGGTGCTGAAAGGGACATTAAAAGAGTGRGTTAGAGCAAAAAGGATATTGCGTTTGRGAGCCAAAGAGGGACAGTGAAAAAGTATATGAGAAATATCGCAGATGGTGGGGTCGTGGATATGTGACATGCATAAAGGAGAGTCATTGAGAGAAAGTTTATAAGAGTGTGAAGGTAATAGAGTGTATTCAAATCATAGGCGTGAAAAAGAAGTAATTATGTTACGATTTAATTTGAGGTTGTGAAGCCAAGGTTGAGAGGGTATAAATGGTGAAATATTTTTGTACCAAGATGCATAATTGGGGGCTAGTTTGTTCCATAGGCCAATCCATAAATTAGAAGTTTGGGATTTTAATAAGGGACAAAAATCGGTCCAGGGAATTAGAGTTGGAGAAGGACAGCAATATGAGGAGGTAGATTTTGCAATGGAGTCCGTTTTTCATTACCTTTTATGCCAGAGTGACCGGGCACCCAAAAGAATTCAACTATAAWATCTAAAAGAGTAAGTTCATATAGGAGTTGCCTGATCCTGATAGAAATAGGAAAGGGGAGGAAAAAAAGTAGTTAACATTAGAATTGGAAAAAAAAAATCTTAAGTTATTATTTTGTTACCTACATATTTTTATTATAATGCACCTAATTTATACAAAATACTTTGTATTTAATAATAGTATTTCGTATAATTGACACACATTATTTAATCAAATAAAATGTTTTTTTTTTTTATTAAGGTACCAGCTGACCTCCTCGATGAAGTATATGTCCATATGCTTGATACAAATCCTGAAGGTCTAGACAAAGTGATGAGATTACGATATTCAAACGTCGAGAAAACTATCCAGTAATTTTAATACTGTTGTGTGCGTTATTGTTTAAGATACTAAAAAAAAAAAAAATAAGT